TATTCTTAATAATGCTAGGAGGTAGCTACTATTATCATCTCTATTTTATAGGCAAAGGAAAAGAGGGACAGAAAGCATGGGCAGCCTGCATTCAAAGCCAGGCAGTGCTCCAGGTCACCTGCCACTAAGATGGAAAATTTAAATAAATACCCGATGATCCTTCCATTTTCCCCAACCAAAGGACTGAGGAGAATTGGCAAAAGATCTCAAAGAGTACCTTGAAGGTATTTTTCAAATAAGCATGTTCCTTTTTCAAATCAGCATTTAAGAGGCCCCTTAAAATTGGCAGGCTTGTATATTACCAACCAAGTGCCTATTTTCCTGTAACACCAAAAAGTAATGGCCACTTTTTTTCTATGAATAAAAGTCACACAGGTCAGCAAACAAACCATGCGGTTTGTCCATCACCATTTCCCTCATAAAGCTAATTGATTTCTGCTACTTAAAATTGTATGTCTAAAATCGAAGTCCCAAGAAGGAAGTGTATATACCTTCCACAGCATTCATGCACACAGCAGGCACTATACAGGGATTGAAGCAAACATTTGGACATGTATGTATCCTTCATATACCTGTCTCTGTGAATTATACAAAATCTATTTATGTAGATATAAGCTTTAAGCAATTGTATAATATCAACTGTGTGTGTTTGCTTGTTTTTCTTCTTTTTGGTATTGTTCCCATTTTATTGGAGCTGAAACTGGGAAGCAAAGATATTAAATAATTTGCCTAAAGTACATTCACACAAAAATGAAGTGGAAAAGCCAGAACATAAATATAAACCCTCTTAATCATTATGATTATCAATGAGGAAGATGGGTGCTGAAAGACCATGTGTTGACTGGGCCATCCACATAGATAATCAAGTTTCTAAGAATAAAGACAGCATAGAAACAGTGAAGGTAGCAGGGAAGCAATGATAGAAACTTCCATAAATTAGGAGTGATCAGCAGACCAATAGATCAGGAGCAAGAGAATAAATATTAATGGCACAGTCCCCTCAATGGACCCTCTTTTGTATTGTTTGTTTTTGTTTTTGTTTCATTTGGTTTTCCTAACAAGAGGAAGGCAGAGAAGTTGAAGAATGACCTGCCAAGTGTAGGAAGGTTGTTGATCATGAGTGGGAGTTCAATTTTTACTCATACTCATATTATTAGCTCTAACTTAGTTGTAATTCAGGAAATGGGCTGAAAGTAACTAGCATATGAGAATTGGGAAAAGATGGAAATGGTCTGAAGTTAGCAGTGTGGGCTGGTGACCAAGGTAATCACTTTTAGCTGGTCAAAAGATGTTGCTTTCTGTAGGAACATCAGGAATTGACTTGACCAACCACTTTAAGTCTCTTTCTCAGGGTCCTCCACATCCAGGCTGGGTCATAGGTCAACAGCTTCTGCTTTGCCACACCAGACAAAACAAGTATTGAATGTCAACCAAAGATTTTGTATTTCTCATCATTGCCAGTACATTTCTATTCTCTTTTGCTCAAGGATTGCCTTTTAAAACTTTTCACTAACACCAGCCACTGGGCTTGTCCTCAGGCACAATGTAAAAGAGGAAAAAATAACAGAAGGAGGTACTAGGTATTGCAGGTACAGCTGGACAAGTGGGAGCAGGTGAGGGCAAAGCTATGAGGATATTGGGTAGAAATAGTGATGTCTGCATTTGAAACTACACAACTCCCTTCCTCCTGGGGAAGGGGACCCTGGTTTGTGATTTGACCCTGAGGCTCATCAAGAGAGAGACCTTTGCTGGTACTTAAACTGGGCTCAGAAAGTTTCAGCCCCTCTACACACCCTACCTCCCATAGCCAGGGGCCAATCTCCCTTATTCTGGGTTACCCTCCCACAGTTAGCTCCTCAGCCTGCCCTCTGCCCTTTGCTGCTTTGGACGTGGTCTCCTCAATCATGCCCTTCCCTACTGCTTTTTAAATTCAGAAATACTGGTTTCCAAAGTGACAACTCCTTTACCTCAGAATAGATATACACATAGAATTTGAGACTAATATATTTTTTTTTTCCAAAGTAGAATGTCTTCACTCTTGCATGCTTGGGTTTGCTTTGTGGTTATTTCACTGTTGATAATAATTTTCTCATTTTCTTTACACAACTGTTTGTCGACTTTGGCTGGGCTTCCTGTCCTGACCACTCTCCTTGCTCTTAGGCCACCTATTTTTAGAATCAAAACTTAGCTGTAAAACAACTGAGGGACACTGTGATTTTTAGTATAACTTCTGTGATGTAAAACTTCTAAAGAATAAAGAAACACAAAGAACAGGGCGTGGATGGACTGGATAGAACTTTGAGAGCCAGGCAGAGTAGAAAATAATAGAATATTAGCCTGGTTGAGGCATGATGTGTGTGTTTTTTTTAAAACATGTATTCATCATTAAAGATTACACATATACTTTTTAATGTTATTGATTCTGTCATGCTTTAAGAAGAACAAACACAAAGACCTTTTCATTAAATAGTATGTGAATTTCTCTTGTTTTTTTTTTACTTTTGTCTTGCAAAAGGAAACAAAAAGTTATAAATAAAAGCACTCTCAATCCCCACCAAAACTAACCAAAACAAGCGATGCAATGATATTTCTCAAAAGATGTGCTTATCACACTATCAGTCATTATGCCAAGCTCAATCTATGCAACAGAAGTGCATTTTTAAGACTTTTGCTTTCTTTGCTTCTTGTCTTTTATATTGTCATAAATTCAACCCACTTCATTGGCATTACCTGCTTGCAACACTCCATCTTCACATTTGAATGAGTCTGGATTTATCACGGTGATATATTTGTGACTTTTAAAGGAACATTTTATTTTGTTGTCCTTAATACCTGGCATCAATTAGCAATGACTTGAGCCTCCTTAACAAAGGATCAGGGTTTGCTGCATGTCCAGCCATAGACACCTCTGCTGGGCTTCTGGCCTGGCTGGGCCACTACGACATCATTAGCATTATAGCACTTCATTATCTGCAGCACACAGGTATGAAGGGTACTCTCCTTGCAAGTTTCCTGATAACTCATGCATCCTGAGCACCTCAGGGTGGGCTCACTGTCATGGAAAAGCACTTTAAAACTGGAAAAATTTTCAAACATCTTCTCTTATTTTCTTTCCTACACACAAATAGAATAATGCATTTTAAGTAAGGAAGAACACTTAAAAAGCAAAACAAAACCAAAAAAAGTACTTCTCCTTAAAAGCCACTATCTCCTTAGGATACTATTCTTATATGAAATAAAGATACAAAGAGTATAAAAGCATGCTTAAAATCTCCCACGTATGTTGGAAATAAAATCTTCACAGAATAAATGCATACAACAGTACCTACTCAGGATACAACTCATCATTATGGGAAATGAACATTATAGCACTGTGGTACAGGTAATTCTGAATACAGGCAAGCTAATAGCATTAGGGCAGCTTTCAGGAAACAGGAATTTATTTTTTTCATCACAGATATACTTCAGCACTAAATATTTTCTGACTTTTTACTATTAACGGGACCAGTGATATGGCTGCTTTATTTCAAGTGCAATAAATGAATTTTTAAAGGTTATGAAAATATGTGTCTGCTTAAAAAAAAAAAATTCTTTGAATAGCCTGCTGGGTATCTGGGATCTCCATATATCGGAGGTCTTTGTTCTCAGCCTAGGAGGAAAAATGCCAAATACACTCCAGAGTGCCAGGCTTAAAAAAGGTGCTGAAGAGAGCCTGCCCAATTATCTGAATTCCAATTTGGCTCACAATGAAAGGTAGAAAAATTACCTAGATGTCTTTCCATGTCGCTGCTCCAGTTGCAACAGACCTTATCTAATAGTTTATTACACTCAGAAAACAAAGCATATTCTAAGGAAAAAATTCACAGTTCCTGTCTCTGATGGAATGGTCTCTTTGAATTCTTTTGTCGATTTCATAGATTTCTAACAACCAGAGGATCGTTTCTTAAATCTGATTTTATTTTTTATGCCAGCAGCACAATTTCCTCCTCTGTAAGTAGGACAGATTCATCCCATAAGCAACAATGGATGCCTCCTTGCTTAACTCAAGCCATGACAGATTAGGCTTCAAGCAGACCAGTAAATGCCACCTCCCTACTTAATGAGACTGTTCAGAGCGAGGCATTTGGGGCCTCGGCTGGATCTGTTCCCTGAACTGCCAGCTGATGAGCCACTGTTGTCTGAGGTGGCCAAGCAGCCCTGACAGAGCAAGGGGCTCGGAAGACCCAGCAGAGGGGGCCGGCAGGGCAGAGGCGATATGCCTTATTGCCAGTGCTTCCAAGCAAATTCCTCACCTCCAATGGTCCCTGCCTCAAGGTAGTTGCCTTGTACAATGCCTGGCAGAAAGTAGACACTTTGCATGTGTTTGCTGAATATAAAAGAGAAAAATGGGAGTTTGGAGATGCCTTTCAGACCTTGCCAGGTAAAAGGCTGTTATTCCTGGCAAAGTGGTTAGGTGACACTCACTGACTTAAAGAAGAGCTAAGAAGTAAAAAGAAAAAACAAAAAAAATACAATCAGCAAATGAATAAACGGATAAGACAGAAGGAAATGAAATAAGCAGTAGCCAAAATCTGTAACTGATGAATATTGTATTGCAAAATGGTTTTTAGTAGAAAAATGGCACTTGAAATGTGATGTTTCTAAATTCCTCTTAGAGACCAGTGTGTTACATAAAGAAAAGTACACCTGCGTCTAGAATTATAATTTGAGGATAACCATTATTCAGATTGCTGTGAGGCATCTTAAAATACTATTCCATTTGCTCCTTAGGTATTGCATATAAAACTATAAAAGCAAAGCTATGCTTTTTTTTTCTTAACACAGAAATAGAATCAAGGATCTGCCTGCCCATGCCAGAAACAGACTGAATCAAATGATACAAAAGCAAGAATGTGCTGTTCTCACATTTATGTAATTGGTGGCTATTTTACTTGTTGAAATCTTGAAATGAATCTTTCACAACCACATGCGTATGTTTGTCATTTATCCCCTTTTCTCAGGTGCAAAGAAGGCTACCAGGGAGTCCGTTGCGATCAATTTCTGCCGAAAACTGATTCCATCTTATCGGATCCAAGTAGGTCAAGCATTTTTCTTCTCTCTAAAGCAATGTATAGGGCAGCCTTTACTCTGAACAATGATTGTTAACTCCGCTGAAACCTGAATTCAGTTGTGTGTCTCTGAAAGGTGCCAAGGACAGAAGCTGATGACAGATGTTCATGTTCAAAGCATGCTCAGAACTAGGTCGGTCCAGGTTTTCTCCAGAGATGGGGCCCAGCGTCTATAGTTCACCTCTAAACTCTGCCGGGAACTCCCAGCAACTCCTTCCCCATTAGCTCTTGGGCCCCCTTGCCACCCACTACTTCCTTCCAAAAGCAGGAAATTGGCAAAGCAAAGAGCATATTATTCACTCAAAGAAATGTTATGGAAATGTTATATTGTGTTTCATAAAGTTTCTTGCACTTTGGTTGGTAATTTGTGATAATATCAAGCCATCAAACATTTACCTTGCTTACTGAAGGAAGAAAAGATATGCATATAAAATTGAATAAGAAGTTGTCAAACAAACTTCAGAAACTCCATTTTTAGCAACGCTATTTGCCTATCAGCAATTACTGTCTTAAGGGCAAATTATTTTTTCTCTATTCGTGATAGAAGACGATTTGCAACTAAAAAAATATTGCCAGTCGTTAGTTTCTCTTTGTATATTGAGTAAAAAGAAACTTTTTATACTAAAATGCTCAATTCTGATTGAACGTGAAATTTTTACTTTTTCTGCGAGTATTTCTCTGCTCTTGTGATAGCTGCTACAATCGAATCACCACTAAAGAAAAGGGTATTCTTATTGAGTCAGCAATTTAGTTTAGAGAAGATAATGACAGGTATTTCCAAATCGCAAAGGCAAAGTTGTGGTTTTCTGAATATCACATATACATAACACAGGCTCTAGCAAAGTATTTTCTATTGACTACAGACAGAGGTTGCCCAGCCTGTGAGAGTACATTTTGCTGCATAATGAGCATGTCTAGTCATTTTTCAACATCTTTTCAAAATGCATATTTTCATTTTCCCCCTGAATTTCTAGCTACATTTCCTCAAGTAAATGCAAAGTTCTTTAAAAAGAGAAAGGGTTTGTTTAATTTAATTTAATTCTGTTTCATCTTGGCAAGGCAACCTACCATCCAGTAATTACTACTTTCTTTGCAAATTTAGCTTTCCTTGAGAAAAGTGAAGGTTGTCGAAAGCTATCCACCAGCCCAGCCGTGGATATCTCTGTTCTCTGAAATGTTAGGTGCTGTTCTCTAGGAATTACCCAGAGGGGATGGTGTTACTGAAGTGTGTTGTATTTTATGTATCTTGTGATGTTGACCACTTGCTAAGCTGGTGTCATATATTTGGAATATTAGGGCCCTTGCATAGAAGAATGGACTTGCTGATTTTTCCTTTCTCTCTATTTTTTTTTCTTTCTCTCTTGTTTTCATTTCTCCTGATGTATCTAGTTTCCCTCTTTGTCTTTCTTTCTTTGCTTCTGTATCCTTCTCTTCTCTTTTACCATTTCCTTTTCTCCCTTTCTTCTTTGTGTTCTTCATTGCTTTTTCTTTTCATATATAACCGTGAGATATCTATCAAGTACAGGATAATGGACAAGGCCTTGCCTATGGTACAAAGTGGGTAAAAAAAAAATTCTCTCTTTAAATAACCTAATCAAATTTTGCCATACAATTGGATATCATAGTCCCTCAGTGCAAAAGTTAAGGATGAGGCCCACCATGACTGCTTCATCCCACTGATCCCATAATCAGTTACTATCCTTGAAAACTTAGGTCTTATGTGCGTAAAAGCATTTGGTGCAGCAATATTGATAATGGTGAAAACATTTTAAGTACTCAATGACAGGTTGATGTGTAAGTAAAATATCATATAGTACATCTCTCATGTTCTATAAATTGCTATTAAAATTATGACCACGAGAAATGTTTCTATAAAGTGAACCACAAGATAGAAAATTATTTTAACATAAAATTACAAAAGGAACATCCTTTGGCCCAAAGGTGAAAAAAAATATACCAAAATGCTCAAAGAGGACTTTTATTATTAGGATTGTGGAATTATATGGAATTGTTTTCCTTTTCCTCCTTTCTGTAAAATGGCATATCATGATGTGGGTCAAAATGTGAGAATTTCTTAAAACAGAAAAACAAGAGAAGCATTAAAAGCCATAGATGAATCCCTGAGACACAGTGTAACTGGAAAAAGCGCTGTATCTTCCATTCATTCATGCTCTCATTTGTTTATGTAATCATTAATTTATTCCAACAGTATCTGAGCATCAACCAAGGGCCATCTAATCTGTCAGATTCTGTAAATACCAAGGTGTGCAAACAGGATTTAGGCTATGAGACCCCCACAGTGTAGTGAGGGAGAAAAACCCATGGATACATAATACACTTGGGGATGAATTAGATGTAACAGTTACCTCTTTGTGACCCTGGCAGATTTATCTGGCTCCCAAGCCTCAGGCTTTCATCAGAGCAATGATAATAATACCTGTGGGCATCTATCATAGAAATTGACAAAGAGTCAATACCAGACAAATGTTAGCTCACTTCCCTTCTCCCTCATTCTAATCGTGGCTCATGTGAGTTTAGATGTTACACGTGCCAAGTGCCGTGCCAAAGGCTTTACCTGGACAGTCTCATTAAACTCTCACAGTCTCGGTCTAGTGGGGAGTACACTGGCACTTGTTCACATTTTATGGAGGAGGAAATTAGACCTCAGGGACGCTAAGTAAACTTGCTCAAGGTCACACAGCTAGTTAATACTGGAGTCTAACTTCCATTCCAAATAACTCTAGGGCCCGGGCTCCGAACAGCACGTCTCTTTCCTCCCTCCCCTAGAACCTTCCTTCCTCTAGTCATTTTCAACAGGACATTTATCACTCTAAATTTCATTGACTGAAACTCAATGACCTGCGGCAAACATTATTCTAAGGAACAATATTTGCACAATTTTCATATCTTAATGCAGCAACTTGAGCTTCCATAGAGATTTAAATCCCTAATGAAATTTCCTTGTCAAAATTCTTGCTGAAGGATTGTTTAATTTGCTGCTCATGATATCTCTGGAATGACTCTGTGCCCAGGAAATAAGCTTCCCCCCGACACCCTCCCTCTATTCTTCCTCCCCGCTGTCTCCTCCCTTCCCTCCATTCCTTCTTCCTTCTTCCCCCTCCCGCGTCTGTCAACGCATGCTTCTGCTTAGTGAGATCTTGGTTAACAGGGGTTGGAAGCCTCTGCTCTTTCCTTCTCTCCCAGACAATGCAGAGTTGGTCAGAAACGTGCACCTTTGGCAATAAATTTTAAACATAAAATCTCAAAATATTTATACTTAGGGAAAAGATGCAAGGATGTCACTGTGAGAGCCTCAATGGCTACTATGACAAGTGTCTTTCCCATGGCTATAGGTTGGGTCCTCAAACCTACTATTCCAAAAACTCATCCCCTCCCCTCACCTGCCACCAAGAACCATGGATCATTCCATCCAGAAACACACACACACACACATATATATATATAGACATATATATATAAGAATCAATCTTATAAGGTGCTTGGATGCTAGTTTTTGAAAAAAAATACAAAAATATCTAATGCATATAACTGCCAGGTTAATCAAACCCTCCTATGGATTCAGTGTACCACAAGTCACATTCAGATCACAAGATTGAATAGTAAGCAGAGGTTCCAAAGGAAGGTAGGAGAGGACCAGACTTTGGTCAGGGTCAAGAGGAAGTGGCCATCTGTGGAGGGCTCAGCGTCAGCTCATGGAGCATTCCTGACGGGCACGTGTGTCTGAATCGTGCCTCAAGCCCGGAGAGCAGCAATTGGTTTCCTGGAAGCTGCAAACTCTTTTTTTGACCCTTTCTGATGTGATTCCTTCAGAACTAGCCTCTTCCCCATAAACGCTGGGTTGACCCGTAGACTCCTGCCCTGTTTTCTCCTCCTCACCACCCATTCCTATCCAGGGCAGTTGCCATCCTCAACCTCGAAGCAGAGGGAGATGGAGCTGCAGAACTGTGAGCTGGCCAAGGATTCAGGCAGATATTTTTTGGTCTCCCCTCTCATGAGCATGGGCTGACCCGAGTGCTCATCAACAAGCTGACATCAGCACTGGCCAGTGGAAGCCCGAGGGCAGCTCCAGAGAATAGATTTGGAGCTCAAAGAATGGGGTGGGACAGAGAAGATGCCCATCAGAAGCAAGGCTCCCCTCCCCACACACAGCCAGAGGCAGCCGTTTCCAGACCTTCCTGTGCCTTCTTGTGTCACCATCCCACCCTCAGCATCCCCATGGCTGTGACAACAGCTAATGGGTCTGCAGACTCAAGCTCTGGCGTGCAGTTTATACAGCTTAAACTCTTGGCATCGTCTCGTCTACACCGTGGAATGAGGGAGGGTGCTGTCCTACACAGTCCATCTGTGCTGACCAAGGTTCCCGCTTCGGTTTTTTTGGATCTCAGAGCCAGGCTCTGCTCTCAGAACACCTGGAAAGGTGCCAGGAGCCTGGTCTGGACATGGTTCAGAAGAAGACTAGGGAAAAAGATGATATGGGTTTAGGCTCCCCATCACCCCAGTCTGGGCTTGTGTGCCTCACCTCCCCGGGAATAATCATTTCACAAGCTCAAAAAATAAATCTTTCAATAGCATGTGGATCTAGCCCATGGGAAGAAAGGGAACCAGTCAACACTGCCTCACTTCCAAATGGTCTGCAGAGACAACTAACTCAGACTGGAGGAAGCTCATGGGATTGTCACCTTTTTTGCCATGCATGGCACAGTGAAAGAGAAGAAAACTTGGGAACAATCCTGGAAGAGACAAGGTGGGGGCCACAAGCCTGGGCAGGTGTTTGCTAGGCAGACACAGGAGGTTTCCATGAAGCTTATTAACAGGAAGTTTCCCCCCAACAGACCCATGTTCTGCACTCTACCCTTCTTGATTTTATTTAACATATAGAAACTTGTTCTATGTGTCCACAATTAGATGGAAGGTTGTAAGGAAAGGTGCTCCAAATTGAAAGTCA